AGTGTGTCAAGAGTGTTGTCAGCAGATTGCAACAGAAATGGCGATATTGAAAGAGTCACAGAAAGGCATAGAAGTGGACGTTCTTGGAAATGTATTGGTGAATTGATGGATGAAATACCTCTTGTGAATTTTGCCACTTAGCTCCGTGTTACAGAACAGTAAGTCGTGCAAAAAGTACTGAAGCAAAACGGTTGGACAAGTGCATTCAGCCGTTCGGATTACGTTCATCTATTTAAAGGTTTAAAGTGCATTTTAGGTCCATCCTGAAGTTTCACACTTTTATGTACGCTCCTGCTGAGGTAGCCGACATATACGTTGTGACTAAAATGCATTGTTGAAATGTGGTTTCATACGCGAACAATTCTCATCGCTGTAGAAAAAGTTGTTTATCTTCCACTTGGTTTTTCGTTTAGTATGCATGTCAGTAGCAAAACCCATTGTTTGGTTTAATTTTGACAGTTTATTCCTAAAAACGTTACATGAACAAAGACCGAATTCCTTATCATAAATTGACATCATGGAGACAACAAAGTCAGTTTTTTTTTTTTTTTTTTTTTTGTTCCTCATTGGAGAAAGAGTAGCAGTGCGGCTTGTTTTGGTTGGGACCTCCTGTTGCGTGGCATTCACCGGAATGCATCTTGATGTGACTGGAAGGTCGCGCAAGACGGCAGTGCAGACGGGAGTCCAGCTTGCCTTTTTTTTTCACTTGCCATGTGGCATTTGGGCAACTCCCATCCGCAGGGCTTTCTCTCTGTTCGCACTTGAATGGTGTGGCATTCTCCTTGCCTGCTGCTTGCCAGTGAATAGCAATGTTAATGGCTTAGCTGGGGAGAAGGGAGGAAGGAATTTGGGGATTACGGGTGTGGAGAGGTAGAGCTACGAATGTGAGTTGCGGGCAGCAGCTGCTTCCCCTTCTCAATGCTGGAGTCAGGTCTGCCCTGTGTCTTTTCGCCCTTTCTATCAGTCCTCCGCAGGATGCTCTGCTCCTCGCCGCCGCCTATCTCGCTTGGCCTGGTTAATAAGTAGCGAAGCAGCTGGCCCAGGCAGAGAGGAGCTTCTGTCTTAATGGCAGGCTTGAATGACGTGCCAGCGCATTCTTTTCATGCAAACTAGTTGTCTTTGTTCTTCCGCCCAACCTTCGAGTTAATGTGCACCTCTTTGCAGGAGCTCGCATTGATATGATACGGCAGGGCTGAACAATTAATCCAATTCAAGTCATCGTGGCAACGTAGCACGAGGCTTGAAAATAACGATTTTTCGATTGAAAGCCATTGTGTGAATCAATGACAATGAATGAGGAGTAAAGTAGTCATTTTAAGGGGATTTTTTTTTTTGCAGGGATAATGGGGAGTTTCAATGTATTTCAGCTTTCAAGTGTCATACTGAGAATGTTAGACTGTAATTGTGTATTTGTAGAAATTTAATTTTTCATCAATACATTACATTTACTCATGAACAAACAATTAGCTTTTTATATACAGTATAATAAACACACAGAGGTGTCTTAAATTCACCCTGAGCAGAGCAGCAAACTATTTTATTGTCTAGAAACATTTTCAGTGGGGCAATTTAAAACAGAAATTGGAATTTTAACTTGCCGTGTCTTTATTTTAAAAAAAAATCCTTAAATGAAGACAGCTCAAGAGTAAACAGTTGGCATAGTAAACTGCATTCACTGTTGATTAATGTCATCAATTACAATAAAAAAAGGTAAATGGTTCAGTTGTTTGATAATAATCCTCAATTGGATTTTTAAAGACTTAATCTAGTTTAGGGAATTAGTTGATGAGACACCGTGGTGGTGAATATTAGTAGGCGAGATTGGTTAAGATGTCAGATGATTGTACTTGATTTCGCAACAGGACAAATTGGCCCAAATTACCTCACTCACCTTTTCTCAAAATTGAACTAAAGTACAGGCCGCATCGGTTGTGTTTATGTTGGGCCTCAAATGACTAGCTGCAGCCCTGCGCTGAGCCACTGACTTTTAGCAAGCCGGCTGACACACGCAAAAAGTGTGATTAGCGTCTCATACGTCGGTGCAGAAGACAGCGAGTAGCCGAGATGACTTATGTGACCATCAACACTCCACACATACGTCACATTAATACGCTTCGGTTTGGAAGAGAGGCAGACTCGCAACGAGCGGGTCTCGCTTCCCCCGGGCCTGCTGCGATACTCGCCTCCTGCGTCCGGCACAGATGGAGCAGAGGCATCTCAAGTGGCCACTCTGATGATTTTCTTTTTCATGTTCGGAACGATGACGACGTCTATCTGGCCTCAGGAGTTAGCATTCAAGGATTTCCATAACATTTGGCAGCTCTGCATATTCTCAAATAAATTCCCATTTGCAGGTTTGTGTTTCATTGTGTGCGAGTGAGTTGCAAAATGCTCATTTTGAATCACAGACTGTGATGCAAAGCTGCTTATTTGAAGCCTTGTAGGAGGACACAATCTTCAAATCGCAAAGGCTGCAATGTATGATTTTTTTTTTTTTTTTATGGTTGAGATACAGTTTGTGTTAGGTAGATGAAGTGTCTGAATTCAGGGATTAACGAGCCTTTATTTGAGCATAAACTTAACCTACAAAACCAAAACATTTTTGACTAACAACATTGGTTTTGTTTTGTTGTAATATATTTCATTTCTTGCTTGTGTTTGTTACAGAGCAGATGCAACTGCAATTGCAAACCTGATTGGAAAAAGCCTTACTTGTAGATGAAGTTTACTCAACTGAAAACCGGTCTATTAGGTCTCTTCTTTTTACCAAACTATGAGTTCCTTGTGTTCATTTTCACCGTCCCACGTTTTGGTCTCTGCTGTTGCTTGGGTACACTCGCGGTTCAGCGACTAGATGAAAGAAAAGTTGAAGTAGATTCATCAACAAAGTTTTTGATTACCGTATTTATTTTCCATCACAGTACCTCCGTCTCCACCCTTTTTTTTTTTTGGGTTGTATCACTGACTAAGGTTGAAGGATATTTTGACAAATACACACAAATGTTTTAAAATATAACTCACCTTTACACTGATTATAGTTTGTGGGAGTCCTGCGTATGTTTCTCTCCAGCAAACCAGATCTCCTCCTCATGTGTTTTATATAGAAATCTTTGAACTCCCTCATGTCTGCTGCCGTCGCAGACTGTCACGCCGGCAGCAGACAGGCGACACTAAAGTCTTTTGTAAATTGGCCTATTGGAAGACGACATGCCAAAAGTGCATGAGGAGTCGATTTGAATGGTTCAACATTGCAGCGGACAAGTAAAGTCGACTTGTGCTCTTATCGGTTCACCTCGTAACATGTTCATTTCCAGTTTTATGCCACCTGTCAGGGGCTATTTCAACCCTGCGGCATTCCGAGTGGGATAAGAGGCAACCCGTGTTAAGAGCAACATACATGTACATAGAAATGCAGCCAAATTGACGTGAACAGGTGACCGGCAACAGGCACAAGCCGCCCATGCGAACGTGTAAACGTGCCATGGTGAGAGGACACGAACAGCAGCCGCTGTCGCTAACCGCTGGCGGAATGTTCACGGGCAAAAGAGTGCTCTCTCATTTTCACTCTTTTATACCGCGCTCTCTGGAACATTTCACGCCGTATTAAGTTCATATTTCAGCATGTCGACGCACGGCGGGGCGGGCGCGCTACCTACGGTTCTGGCCACTTCATGCTGGACGTGTGAAAGCAAGTGTCACCTTATCTGAGCCACATGCGTTCAAAAGCATGCATGTGGTGTGAGGGGGGGAAGAATGTGGTAGAATGTTGAGTGCTCTTCATTCAGCACTGCTCCCCTCTGTTGCTTTTAGTTGTATTTCTTTTTAAATGTGTCAGGTATATCATTTTCTTTCTTGTGTCAGATAGGAAAGATGACTCCATTGAAGAAGTGAGAATCAACACACATAGTGAGCACATTAACACACTTGGTAAATCCAGTTTCTTTACTCGCTTGCAAATTCGAGCCTTATCTTGCACAGCAGCACTTTGAAACAGTAATCCATGCCTTGATGACATGTCAGATGGGTTATTGTAAGGGGAGTTTACTTTGGAGTCAGCCAGGCCAGACTCAAATGTCTTGGTTGAATTTGCTGCTATTCATCTCTTGACTGGAACACAAAAGAGGGAGCGCCTGACTCTTATTTTGACCTCCCTCAACTGGCTGACTGTGCACTTTAAATTTCGTTTTATGATTTTGCTATTTCTTTTCAATCTCGAACCGGTTATTCCTTAGCTTTCAACAGAGTATGAGACTTTGAACCGTGATTTTAGTGTTTGTTACCATTAGTTGTTACCATTTTGTTTCAAAACTATGTTAAATTGTCTTCTGTTTTATGATTTTTTTTCTCCAGAGCAGGAGAAACCCGTATTGAAAATGTCACAAGTCAGTAGTAATTTGGCTTTTAAATTCCCAAACTGATGCCATTAAAAAAGGGTGAAACAATCACATTGTCATACACAATTTTCTGACTGTACACAGGCTCAATGTTTCCTGCAGAGAGCACATCTAGATTGCAAAATCTAAAAATAACGCACACGTCTTTGGCCATGTCAAATGGAAATGAATTGAACCATGATGTTGAAGTTTCAAAGGGATGCCAATGTTTTAAGTATGAGTGCAACTTGTAGCCTCCCACTGTACTCGTCTTCCTGCTGTGGAATGTGGGACGACTGGTTGCGTTTGCTTAGAGAGGCCGCAATTTGCTGTGTTACAAGAAGCAGAGAGAAGAAGTATCGGTAGCAGTGTTGCAGAGATGGAGAGTTGAAATGACTTGAGTCAACACTGCACAGCCTCCCGTTTTCCTTCTCATATCTCTGTCACCTTTGACCGGTGTCTAATGAAACGTTCCACTGAAGCTTGCTCTTACACACAAGAGGTAAAAAGTTCACGGCACTGGCGCGATCTTCAAGGAGGTTGGACCGACTGCTTCCGTGTCACATGTAATGTTTGCCTCAAGTCACACTTGCAAATGTCTTTTTTTTTTCTCTCTCTTCTGTGCAGAATGTCAGCCCGGCTTCTTCAAAGTGGAAGCTTCTGGTGAGAAGTGTCAGCCATGTCCTGCCAACTCCCAAGGGCTGGGCTCCGGGACTTTGTTCTGTTCCTGCATGGATGGCTTTTTTCGGGCCCCCAACGACCCCCCCACTGGACCGTGCTCAGGTGATGACACGCCCTCATCTCCTTTTTCACACCAACAAGTGTGACCTTTGGCTCATATGGACAGAAGTATCGGGAACGGAAATGCGTCTCACTGAAGAGTCAGACAAGAATTTGTGTTTGGCTCCCTCACCAAACTCTTCCACGCATGCCTTAATGGACCTTACTATGTGCAAACATTTAAAATGAGAAGGAAAGAAAATTGCTCGTATGCTGACAAACTCATACTAGAGAATTTTGAAGTCTCTGAAGCAGGTGTCCCAGACAGATGGGCTCGGTGAAATTGTGAGTTTTCGCCTAGGTCAGTCTCAAGCACGATACGAGTTTAACAAGGTGTACATTGGCTCCCATTCCAATAAAATTTAGCTTTTTCCTCCCGAGGAGAAAAAATCTTTGCCTGTGAGTACTGTTATACTGTCTGTTTAAAAATGCATCGCTTAAAGGGTTGTCGCAAATTGACACCGATGCTTTACATTAGCCTTCTTTCGGGTTCTGCAGTGTTTAACGTGAAATGGACTTTGTACGAAAAAATTGTCCAATTGACTTTGCTCGTATCTCATGGCACCATTTTAGTACAATGAAGGTAAATCGCATGTAAATTGTTAAGCATAAGCTGCGTGCAGCTAGGAAATGGACGTCGCTCAGCTTCTTGACCACATTTTGAACACCCCGCATTCTCTATTTTAAAATCCTTATTCTTATTTGTCCTTTGCTCAGGCCTCCCCTCTGCTCCCAAAGACCTCATGGCCACCACCATACAACTATCTGCTGGAAAAATCCTCCTCTCCTGGAGTCCACCAGATGACAGTGGAGGTCGGACGGACCTGACATACAGCGTGGAATGCCAACGCTGTGAGGGCTCCTCCTGTCAGCCGTGCGGGGACAAGATCCACTATGACCCATCCAGTAACGGCCTGACCGACACTAAAGTGTCAATAAGCGAGTTGGACGCTCACCTAAACTATACCTTCACCGTGGAGGCTCACAGCGGAGTGTCCATGTTTGGCAGTCAGGCAGCGCCTTCCACCAGTGCTCTCACTACCTCGCTGCGCTACACAGGTGACGACGGATGCTGGTATTCTGTAGAGCATAACATGTCCATTTTCCTTGAGCTGAAAAAACAAACTGAAAAAGTCCCTCTGTGTCCTCAGATCCCCCAAAGATCACCTCCATTCGAATGGTGGAGAGAACAGCCACCAAGTTGTCCATCTCCTGGGATGTGTCCCCCCGACCGCGCTTCCAACTTCGGCCCTTCCGCTATGAACTAACCTATCGCAAGAAGGTACTTTTCTTCTCACAATTAAAATTACGCACAAGTATTGACAGAACACTTGTCCTATCATCAGCATGGATTGAATCACTCTTTTGCATTTTGCATGAATTAAAGTCAAAGATATGCAGATAAAAGGCAGATTCTTTGGGGTTTGTTGAAATCTGTGTTATTGCGCACCGCAGTGGTAAGGTAGGTTAGACGTGATATGGTGAATAAAGCGCATGACTAATACTGCACAGGTCTTGAAACAGTAGCTTTATTGTGACTGGGCTTAGAAATCCCGAAGCTTTCCATGGGAAGTTGAGCCGAGGAATTTGGTAGCTCCGCTGTGTATGTTGGACGCGTTCCATGTCGGGAGATTGATGAGAATGAACGTAACCGTTAACTGGACCTTTGAAATCATTTATCCCATCGGTATCATGAATGGTGACCACCACATTCACAGAGAATACAGAGCGGGCCGGCCCACGAATAGTAAAAATTTAATTGACATTCATTTACCCACATCATTGCTTTAAAAGAATAAGAATAAGATAAACCATGAAAAAAGGGGTTTGCCCCCTCCAAAAAAAACCCAGGAAATTAACAATTGAAAAAAAAAACATGCTAATATATAATACTGAACACATTCAATTTAAATCATCCTGGATATATATTTGTGAATAGTACAAACATAAAAGTTCCTCCAGTGAAGACAACAAACAAAAAATAAATTACAAGGTGGTTTATCAATCTTTTCAACGACTGTGCTGTTTATACTCACACTTAACACATCTATATTTTGCAGATTTCATATTATGTAGATTAGTCTGAATTCTTGACAATTCTCTCTTGAAAATCTTTTTTTTTCAGACCTCCAATTATGTGTTCAATACATGTCACCTGCCAGATGAATGGACTTTTGCATTATCAGTTTTTAAAGACATTTGTGAATCAAAATTGAGCCAAGTAAGCATTTTGTTGCCATGCTTCCATTTAATGGCCGCAATATCCATTTGGCACACTAACTCTAGGATTATATTTTAGACATTTGATTGGAAGTGGACCTCAACTCATTAAACCTTCTTTTATACTTGGTGTACATATGCGCAAAAAAAAAAAAAAAAACACACACACTTAGACCTTTTTTGGGGGAGGAATTATGTAGAGCTCCCAGCAAGATGCAAATTTTTCTAAAACCACCACTTATAATAATAATAATAACAATAATAATACATTTTATTTATAAGCACCTTTCAAAACACTCAAGGACACCTTACAATCAAAACAGGAACAATAAAACCACAGATAAAATTATAAATAATAAAAGAAGAGATGCATTTAAACCCAGTATGCGATATTAAATAGGTGGGTTTTGAGATGGGATTTGAATGTGGGAAGAGAATCAATATTTCGAATATTGGGTGGGAGTGAGTTCCAGAGTTTGGAGGCAGAGCGGCTGAAAGCTCTTTTTAACTTGTTTCTGGTTCATTTTTCAAAGGTTGGAATGTATTTTTATTGTCATATTGTGATTTGTGACTCATGTAGATAATTGAGTAACTTGTTGAAGAAAAAAATGAAAATGAAAGCAAGCAATAATTTTTCAGACAAGCTATGCCAAATGGATACATTAGCCATATTAGGGGTTAGGATGTAGCAATAGTACACGCATGTCTGCCTCTGCAAACATTCTCTGCATGGTGAACTCAGTCAATGGGTCAATTTGCAGACACAAAGTAGCTTTAGCATTCATATCCTGTGTTTCGATGACTGTAACAACCCGATTCGTTGACATGATTGTCCAAGCGTTCAAATGCAAGCCTTGGCGTAAGCCTTACTGTCTTGTGTAACTCAAGAATGGCATTGGGAAAATAGTCACTGAAACTGACCATTTCTGCAGAAAAGCACAAGTTGAAAGAACTTGTGGAACATCATCAACTCCCTTTTACTGTATCGGGTCGTTGACATGTTCGTCCCACCATTCATTCTAATGCAAGAGTGGGAATGGTTTCGCTTGTCTAGAAATAAATAAGTGCCAGATCACAGGACATCACTTCAAGAAAGGTTGTGTGCAAGACACCGTCCAGTGACTCAATATGGAAAGGGAAAAATGACATCAGGCAACCCAGAAGAGTCAGACAAAGGGTGTCTCCGACGGCGGCAATACAGTTATTGACCCGGACTGGAAGGCCAGCCTGGGCAGTACACGTTTTCAATACTGGCACACAAAGCTGGGAGGAGAGGAAAGAATATCCTCAAACCAATTGAGGAGCTGCCAACAGACGCTGATGATGGTGTGACATTACTGGCATAAGCTCATCTTCACCACCTCATCTCATCAGTGACCAGGAGGAGAGGAAAGAAAGCCACAGGGAGGAGAAGAGCAGGCCAGCCTAGAATTTGGGCACAGGGAGATATTGAGCCAGTCCAGATTTCAGAAAAAATATATTTGCCCTCCCAAACGAAGTGAAGACACCTTTCACTTACTTCCAAACAATCTTCACGGATGAGATAAATTGATTTATTGTCTATTCTCCTCAAGGCACGGGATTTTCAATCAACACGACCCTTGCAGCGATGGAACACTTCCTGGCTGTGCTACTATTCATGGGAGGTTTTCAATTTCCTGTCATTGAAGACTGACTACTGAGCCATGGAATCAAGCTTCCCCGTGACTGCAGAAATCATGCCGTGAAATCGCATCAAGTTGCGATGTCCTTTCATCTATTTCAATGACAACCAGCAAGTCGTAGGGAGCTGCGATCTTTCCACATTAATTTCAAGCAGTCAGTGGATGAGATCATGGTTTCTTCCAAAGTGACCAGAGCAGGAAATCTGCATCAGTTCATTTGTTTCGGCTTCAAGATCTACAGTTGGCCAATACCACTGGAATCATCCATGACCTGCCGCCTCGATGTTGTTCAACGTAACTAAGTGGGGAAGAAACGAAGGTTCTGCTGAGAACCAAAGTGGTGCAGACCCAAGAATGTCTGCTGTCTTTTGCGAACAAATTCTTCACCAGTTACACTCTGCTCAAGGAAATGGATTCGTGTCTTGGCATGAAATGCATCGACACACCTCGTGAAAATCACACTGGCCGAGCTCCCTTGATGAAGGACAATGAACTGAAGAAGAAAGGGCAAGGAGCATTTGACTACAGATCATTAGAAGGGATTGCTGCCGTCCTTATCGCAACTCGACAAGACTCCCCCAAAATCAAAAAGGTGCTACTGTCCAATCTTTGGATACGCCCTTGACCTGTCTATCTCAAACGCGTGGCTGATGTACAAGAGAGACTGCAGCTTGCCGAAAAAGAAGCCAATGCCTCTAAAAAAGTTCAAACTCCAGGTTACTTTCCGTTTCCTAAATGTTAGGAAAACAACAATGGTTGGACGACCTTCTTCCCTCTCACCAGCAGAACTGAAGAGAAGATGTCGTAACACAGTCACTCATCCACTGCAGGATGTCCGCAATGACAAAACGGTACATTTGCCAGTCCACAGTGATGTCAGAGGTCGGTGTCTGTTCTGTGCAAAGGGTCAGAGCAGATGGAAGCGTGGGAAATGTAAAATCTTCCTCTGTCTGAAGGCAAGCAATTCATGCTTTGCAGCTTACCATAACAAGGACACTTGAAGTTGTTTGATCCTTACGCAATGTTCATAGTATTGCTATTTTATGACACATTTCTTTGGCTGTTTATTGTTTGTGGCCAAGTGAGCATGACTGATGTGAAAATCTCTTTTGAAATTGTCAATAAATATTCCCAAAAACAAGATTCCGCATGACACAACATATTTTGTATCCAAAAGGCATTTTGTCAAGAGTTTGGCCAGTGATTCTGGTTGGCATGGGTTTTAATAACATCTACAATTGTATTTAATTAAATTTAAATGGACTTATTTTTTTCGTTATTTGTGTCCCAAATAACCAGGAAATGCAAAGATTTTTTTACAATGAGAATTTCTTCGTCCGGCCATTCAAGGGTTCAGAGGACAAATGGTATTGATATCTTGTGAAACCAGAGTGGGCTTACTTGAAATACTCTGTCCTCTCAGGATGACAATCTGGACGTTACCACCTACACAGTGCTGATCCTGGAGAAGAGTTCTGTGCAGATCAGCGATCTGGCCCCAGGCACGGCCTACCTGTTCAGGGTGCAGGCCCTCAGGAGCGACGGCAGTCCTGGGGACTCCAGTGTAGAGGAACAGTTTGAAACCTCTTCTGCAGGTAAACAGGAGAATGAATCAGGCCACTCTTGACACGTTTGGAACATCGCAGCCGTAATTGATGCGTCTATGCTTGCCTTTTTACAGAACCGTTGACTCAGAGCAACCCTGCGCTCATTTTCGGCGTGCCAGTCGCAGGCGCGGCCGTGTTGTTTATACTGCTCGTGGTCGTCTTCCTCCGCAGACGGTCAGTAAGCACTCCTCTTCCTCGACGGGGCCTCCAAATGGCCTTTGCATTCAATCTGTCATCACCTCTTCTTTTCTTTTTTCCCTCTGTCAATTTTCTGAGTCTCAATGTGTTCTTACTCTCAAGGGAACAAAACAAAAGTGTTGCACATTCATTGGTTCAATGCTTGAGATTGTCAGGGCTTTTGAAAGGAAATGTGTCCAAAGTGCTGTATTGTCGTGACAAAAGGGATGGGCCTCTTGCTACAATGTGTTTATGTGTCTTGTAATGCTGAGCTGAAACGTTCCAATGGCAGCCTGTTTAATCGTCACTCCTTTGAATCAATTGGCTCATCAAACACAGCACATCATTTGCGCGGATCAAAGAGATCCTTTGTGAAAGCCGTGACAAAGGTTGCTAAGTGCCATTCATATTAAAGCAGGCCTGTTGCATGAGGAAGTGCAAGATGCAACCTCACCCACTCACGCAGCCTTCATGTCGGAATTTTGAGGCAATTAGTTTATGTGTGTGTGTGTGCGTGTGTGTGTGCGTGTGTGTCATGAAATACAGATGTCATACAATGGAATGATAATATTTGCACACAAAAATACACATTTTCACACCCTTGTAGTCCCTGGGGTTACTGCCATGTTTATATATGAACAATTACATGTTATGTATTGATTGCAATTATTGTTTGGTATCCCAGGGGATTCCGAGACTCTAGGTTGGTGGGAGGGATGTGCTTGTATCTTTTATTGAACTGTGTACAGTTCTTTTCTGAAACATTTATTTTGCGCAATGAAACACTTAGTTTTTTTCTTCCCCCGCCACTGCAAATGTTCCCAGTGTGGGACAAATAATGGTTATCTTATCTTATCACTTGTTTGGTGAAGCACTTTGTGTTGCTCTGTATGAAAGTGCAATACAAATCAAGGTTTGAAAACATTTTAAATCAATCATACATTTTCTATTGAGTGACCTTGCAGTGACTGTTTCAAGAACCATTTTTTTTTTGTAGAAATCATTTGTTTTCTAAATGAATCACAATTTTGAGGGCCTAAACAGGCACAAAAACACCAAACTTTGCAGACACATTGGACCTGGTGAAAAATTTCTATGATGTTTTATCTTTCTAAAAATATAGAGTTTTAAACTTCAAAATGAATTCATTTGACTAGTAACTTAAGAAGGTGTAAAACAAGAACACATTTGTGATGCGAAATATTCAATTCGGGCTCATTGAAGTGGTGGGATATAAAAGTGAACTTTTGTGTGTCTATCATTCAGGAAAAGAAACTCTCATACCAGGCAGGGACCGGAAGACGCCTACTTCTCCAGCCCAGGTACCTGTGGGGAAAAAAAAAATCCCATCTCTCTTTCTCCTCATTTCATTCATCTGACTTAATCCTTGTTGTTGTCTGACCCCAAAGAGCAACTAAAGCCCCTGAAGACCTACGTGGACCCGCACACCTACGAGGACCCCAACACAGCTGTACTGAAGTTTGCAACCGAAATCCATCCCAGCCACATCAGCAAACAGAAAGTCATTGGAGCTGGTGAGTGACAGCCTGCCAAGCGTGCTGAGAGATGTTGCAATCCCCAGCAAGGCTGTTTACACAGCACATTTTCCACAACTTAACCTGTTGATTGACAGCAGATTAGTTTGATAAGATGAACATCTACCTGACCTGTTGTAGCAAATCTTTCCAAGTTGTGATACTGTACATCGGCACCTTACAAATCTCCCACGCATGAGATGTTTATTCAAGTGGGAGTCCTTTTTTTCCTTCCGATACACACCCCAACTCCGGTTCCCATGACTGTACCCCCCTCCCTGTCTTTCTCCTCATGTGACAGCTGATTCCCATACTCCCATACCACAGGCCACCCGCTGCTTAAGCAACACCAAACCTTAAACACACCTCTGGAGGAGAGCCTCGGGCCAAACAGCCACACACTTTTTTTTTTGCTTCGTTCTGTTTCACACAAAGAAATCCCCCGCAGGCCGAAATCCAAAACGCCGGAACACACGTCCATCTGACATGGTCGTGTTCTGACTTTGTTAATATAACCTATTGCTGTTGTGTCTTACAGGAGAGTTTGGTGAGGTATATCGTGGTAGTCTGAAGGCCCCAGGTAGGACAGAGGTGGCCGTGGCCATCAAGACACTGAAGCCAGGCTACTCAGAAAAACAGAGGCAGGACTTTCTGGGCGAGGCTTCCATAATGGGCCAATTCTCCCACCAGAACATCATCCGCCTCGAGGGGGTGGTCACCAAATGTAAAGACTTTGCAATTGAAACGTCATATCACTTGGTTCTTAACATGTTTTATGTTGATGTGCAGTCAAACACGCCATGATTGTGACGGAGTACATGGAGAATGGAGCACTGGACAGATACCTCAGGGTGAGTTCACACAAATTCAACTCTGACAAATACTGGACACATAGTACAAATCTTGATTTGGGGCTGGTCCCTGTCCTGTGGGTGCTCATTTGCATTTGTGTGTGTGTGTGTGTGTGTGTGTGTGTGTGTACAAAATGGGTGTTTATATGAATGGACTAACAAAGCAGTTGTCGAGAGAATCGAAGCCACCGGAGGCCATTTTATGTTACCATTCGAGAAACCCGCTTAACTGGAATACAATGATTTCTCAGTGGCGTTTTCACATTATTTTCTGTCTTTATGGCAAAAATGTCACCCGTTGCTAGCTGAGATCGCCTCCAGCACGCGCCACGACTCTGTTTGGGATAAGCGGGGTGGTTGAAAATGGATGAATGGATGGAAAACATAGCATAATAACTTTATTAAATCACAATTAGAAGAACACAAGTACCCATTAAGTATCATCTCTTCTGTGCTCAAATTGCTAGCCTTTAACATTTACACATTCCTGGAGTGATTAGCTTCAACTGTGCTATGGAGCTGATAACATTTTTTTTTTCTTGCCGTCAGGACCGTGACGGCGAGATTTCCTCCTTCCAGCTGGTGGGCATGCTGCGTGGCATCGCCGCGGGCATGAAGTACCTCTCTGATATGAGCTACGTCCACCGCGACCTGGCTGCTCGCAACATCCTAGTCAACAACACTCTAGAGTGTAAAGTGTCCGACTTCGGCTTATCGCGAGTGCTGGAAGATGATCCTGAGGGGACCTACACCACAAGTGTGAGTAGACCCACGATGGATAGTTTGGACCCTTAACTTTAAAGGCATGTCTAGATGCATTTGGCGCCTTTTTATTGAACAGGGAGGAAAGATCCCCATTCGCTGGACAGCTCCGGAAGCAATTGCATACAGGAAGTTCACATCAGCGAGCGACGTGTGGAGTTTTGGAATTGTTATGTGGGAAGTGATGGCGTTTGGGGAAAGGCCCTACTGGGACATGAGTAATCACGAGGTGAGATTTTTGGTTTAGCTGGCACATTGCTCCAATGTTTACTGGCCGCGTATTAACAGGGCTCCTGTTATATTGTCTGCAGGTGATGAAGGCTATCAACGAGGCTTTTAGGCTGCCTGCGCCAATGGATTGTCCCTCGGCCGTTTACCAGCTCATGCTGCAATGCTGGCTCCAGGACCGCTCCAAGAGGCCGCGTTTCGGGGACATTGTCAATCTATTGGACAAATTGCTGCGGAGTCCAGACTCCCTCAAGGCCATTGCCGACTTTGACCCACGGTAACCTTTATCCAGCTCATCAAAGTACAAAGCGCCAGACATGGGCATAAAAAAATTGTGGCCACAATATACAAGGTATGTCTAAAAAGTTTCAGGATTGGTGTCACAAAAGACAAATTTCAAAACCAACAACAAACTACAAGTTTTCCCCTTTAATGTGGGCTACTTTCCTGCTCATAATGCCGTGGGCGTCTGAAAGTTCCTGTTTGAGAGAATATCGCCACGCTGGAGTAGCCTCCCGACTCACCTGACCTGGCTCCATATGATATTTTTTCCTGTTTCTCAAGCTCAAGCAAGTCATCAAGGAAATCAGCTTTGAAGACCTGGACGATATCAAGATAGCTGTGACAACAGAGCCACAGAGAATACCGGAAGAATTCTTCCAGGGCTACTTTGAAGGGATAAAACTTGTCATTTGGATTTGAAATCTATATTTTGTGATACCAGTCCTGGAACTTTTCGGACACACCTCATATGTATTAGTTTCTTTGTGGACCCAAAGTAGCAGCACTACACATTTGGGTTAGCAAATTAAGAGCACCTTCTCTTGAAATGGTACACATTCAAAAATGCTGGGTTGTTTCCCCAAACCACTTGCTGGGTTGTCGTGAATTTTTAGCAGATTGTGTTACTTTTACTCAAAATTGACTATTTCGACCCACCATATTGTTTAAAAGATTGGATGTGGGCAGGCCAAAGAGCTGAAGCTGGTTCCCATTTGTGTTCTGAAGTTGAAGTAAATTTAATGTGACATTCTGAAAAAAAAAAACATTGGTGGTGCTCGGATGAATCCGACTTTGGACACAGGGTTCAGGATTCAAATCTCAGTCAGGACAGACAGCTCACTCCGGAAGATCAGGAAGGGCATCAGGAGTAAAAACTGTGCCAAACATATCTGGATGTGAGTGGTTTGCTGTGGTGAGCCCTGACAGGTGAAATTTGCCGCTCCTTTTTAGTAAATGTTGGTCGTAAAATTACCATCATTCTTATTATTTTTATTTACCACAGCTGTAGTGCAACCAGGTAACCAATTTCTTACTAGCTCTAACTCATCAGTATTGGTAGGTTTTACCTCCTGTTGGCTCAAAACCTCAAAACAATGCTCTGGGTGTAAATAACCCAGAACTGTCTCTGTCGCTTTTGGAACCAGTACTGAGTTACAGATTTCATCCAGATTGGGTTACTTTTGACCAAGTGCTTTTAAGAGTATAAAAATCCATCCATCAATTTGATCTTGTTTGAGAAGCACTGAGAGGGGTTGTCTCATACACCGGTGCACTCAATCGATCAAACTTGATGTCTTACTAGCGGCGACAACACTCCTTGTAGAGAAACATAGACACTGTTAAATGTCTTATTGTGTGTGTGAGTGTGCAAGAATGCAAGTCGTTTTTTATCTTTTTGTGACAGTAGCAGGGGCATAAGGCCAGCTTTGTCGTATCTCACTCGTCACTTTTTCCCTGGCTGCTCCAACTGGTTTTCATCACACAGTGTCTTCCGCACTGTTATTAAATTCGTCAGTCATCTGCTTTATTATTATTATTATTATTATTATTTTAATAATGAGGGTGATTTACTCATTCTCCTCCTGCAGCGTATCAATCCGCTTGCCCAGTGTGAGCGGGTCAGACGGCTCGCCCTTCAGGTCCGTGTCCGAGTGGCTGGAATCCATAAAGATGAGCCAATACAGCGACAACTTCAGCTGCGCCGGCATCATCAGCATGGACCAAGTCCTGCAGATGAAGAACGAGTAAGTTTGGCCCGTGCTCACATTTGCTGACGCCACGTATTCCTTTTATATGATTGTGTTTTTTGGTTTTGTTCGATACATTTGATTCCAAGAGTGTATTTTTACTCCCAACGGGACATCTGTTCTTGACTTTGTCCAAGCAGCTTCTAGAATCTGCAAAATCGCTGGCGTCATTATTATCTCCAGCCTCAGTCAGAACTTGTCAAATGCTTGTTATGGAAAAAGTACAAAAAAAGATGTGGCTTTCTTTTTGAGGCCACGCCACTTCTTCTTTCTCTCATCCCTTCATCCCTCCCTTTGCCCACACACTTTGCCCGGAGCGGCGCTTTTGCAAACCCTCAAAAAGTCACTTTTGGCTGATGAGGACCAAATAGTTCTTGTGGCTTTTTTTTTTTTTTTTTTTTAAGTGAAGAGAATATTCTCGAAGAAATTGAAGGTGTAAGAGGAGTTGAGTCTTATCGTCTCACATGTATGGCAACACTTAGAAGAGGGCAATTGAATGAAATTGCCCAAACGTTTGGAGAAAAGACTTAGTCAAGCACATCATATCTGCTTGTTTGGGACAATCATGAGGCCCACAGCTTTTTCCGAGCGGGCGAGCAGCCAAAAGGAAGCCGCATAAGGCGCCATCTTCCCTGCCTGCCGTGTGCCGTTCACATCTTAACCGGCTGTGATTTGGGGAGATTGGGAAGCAGATGACAAAATCCTTTCAAGTGTTTGTCGCGGAGTATGCTGTGATTGCGTGGTTCCATCTGCAAGCACTCTGAAGGCCACCGGCAGCCAAGTGAATCATTGTTAAATCATTAAAGCCGCTAATGAAGGCTTTGACTTAAGTGCTGTCCTTTCATGTTGTTACGTTTCACCCGCTCCACATGAATGGAGTGCAAGCGGATATTTAATGACTTCAAGGCACCGGAGCGTGAAGTGTTGGAAAGGGGCCCAGAGTGCAAACGCTCAAGAAATGTCATGTCTCTCTCTTGTCTCTCTGTCACAGGGACATTAAGAAGATCGGGGTGAGGCTGCCTGGCCATTTGAAAAGAATCGCTTACAGCATTTTGGGCTTAAAGGACCAGACCAGCACCCTGAGCGTGTTCGCAGTGTGAACGCCATCACAAAGGGATTTGAAATCAAGCACTGAAGCAGAGAGCCCTTTGGACTCCCAAATGAGCTGGAGCGATACCGCAGGGACGGACGACGCAAGCAAAAACAAACATCCTGTACGCTTTTTGACGCTCGTATCAACAAAGAGAGCACAGCAAACATCAGTGAGCAATGGCGGAAATACACAAGTAGACTCCAGTACTCAGTCCTGTTTAAAAAAAAAAAAGAAAGAAAGAAACAGCACTCGTGGGAATGGTTTCACATATGTGGAGCAAACGCACAAGGTGTGGCAGTGTGGGCGGAGAGAGCGATAAAGGAGTCCAGCTTCCACTTCCTGTTCAACCGGCGAGGACGCTCGAAATGAGCTCCTGGTGGCCCCGAACCAAACTAAGCTATAATGTTGTAAGCTAAAAGTGAGGCTTATGTATGAGGTACTCTGTAAATAATCCATTTTTTTTCTTTTGATTTGGGAGTTCACCCAAACCACTGGGATTAAAACATTTCTAATGTAGCACTTCCTTTGAAAATATTGTGGTTTTGGTTTGTGTAGAAGGGACGGGAAATGGCTCGTTTTGCTTTTAGAAATGAAACGCAATGGTGCCAATGAGAAGGCACTCTATCTGATCTGCCGGTAATGAAGATGTAGTGGGTTGCCAGAATGCAAAAAAAAAAAAAAAAGATGTCTGGAGGAAATGTCAGGCTTGTCGTGGCTGAGATGATTTCTGACTAAATAATAGTTCCAACTTCTCAACTATTTTTGTAAACTACACTCAATCATGTGCTATTCTGGAGGACAGGGGGAAGAAATGCTTTGACAATGAAGTGCGAGATTTTTAAGTGCCTGTATTGAGTTTCTTTTTGAATTGATGACTGCAAATTGTTGTGTTACTGATGTACACCTTTTTTGACTTGAATTCTTCAAATGATCTTTTTGTAGATGATAGATGTAGCTTTGGAAAAAGGAATTCTTTTTGCGTCACATTTTATATGGTGTCACTTAAGAGTTCATTTTGTACAATTTCCACTGTTTCTATCCAAAGCCATTTTAGCTGCCTTTCCCAAAATGATCTTTCATCAAAGACATAATGCCTTCATTTCTGACTTTTTCAAAATGTATTTAATAGTCTATTTATTTTGTACTTTTATTTATTCGTCCTGATAAAACACTGAGCTTGGATTAGAATTGAAGGTGGCTCCGTCAGAAAAAAAAAAAAAGCTGCGTCCCTTTTATTACTGAAATATTCAAAGTTCAGTTTGCTTTCATGCATTTGTGGAGCAATAAAGTTTTGAATGCTGATTTTTGACACACAATTCTGTCCCTGTGCTTGTGAAACATAATCAGCATTTGCATGGTACAGTATATGCAGTACATAGAATTACAAGCCTGCACAATGAGAGTCATGATACTTGGGTCATGACGGAGAAAATAATGGATTATTTGGACAAGAGAAATATAGAAACCCATTTCTGCCAGTAAATAAAATAAGACAGGAAAAAAATGTTATAATCACAGTTTGTGATACATTGTCTTCATCAAAAACGAAGTCATAATGATGACCTTGTACTGTTTCTCATTATGAAATAGTATCTCATCATGATGACTTATGTTAGTACAGTATTTATTTTTTCATTAAGAACTAGTATTTCATTGATATGACTTTGTATGTCATAACCGTGAATGAAACCCTTTCAAAAAAAGTTTTCATTTAGACTAGTCAGCGAGTCGACGGCGCGATGCAGTTTCGGTTTGCGAGCAAGCTTGCGAATCAATACAACTCAATCAACTTTACTGACGAAATAGACAAATAAAGGTGCCCAAAAAAACATTTTGAAAAGAAAGCGAGTGCCTGTCTCCCAAATGTTGACTTATCACAAGTAGGCCGACAGTGTAAGCCAAATGCATTTAAGTATGTATGGAGAGCTCTTTTTAAACCAGGGAACATGCACTGGTCTTCCTGCAATATCAAAAAAATTGCCAAAACATGCAATACATTATGATTATTGTCAAGTTTAATGATATAGTGGTCCGCCACAAATAATAGACCCCCCGCTCCCTTTGACTTAGTCTCACTTTTTATATATTATTGCCTCTATTAAAACCTAGATACCGCAAATTATGATCCCAAACTCTTGAACATGATTTAAAACTCATGCCCATATTTGGCACTGGTTGCGAAACAACCCGACAGGAAGTTGCCTGGTACATTTTCCCAACGGTTTATGCAGAAAAGAGGCAACGGGTCAGCGATATATTTTTGTTTCAATGGAAATCCCTGGTTTTGCTCATCCGATTCTAATGGCGTGGCGGGATCTGGGGAATTTCGGTTGGTCTGTGATCTATGAAGACCGCTACCAGCTGTACTGCACTTCAGGCAGAGCAGGGAGCAGTCTCTTTATTACCATGACACTATGTTAAATGATCAAGTCCTCCGTTTAGTCGTTCAGGCTGTTTTTACTGGAGAACTCCGCCCAAATCCTTGCTGTTTACCCTGAAATCACTCGGCCAACATCTATCTTTCCAACTGGGTGTGCTGAGATGTCACCAGAGCGTGCTGCGCCCATTATTGAACATTTTTTCAAGCACCCAACTTTAGCGCCACCAGCCTGCTCTGTCTGCGCCCTTGCACCGCAGCGCCACATAGACAATGAATTTGTTGGGTGAACGTGTGCTCACGTGCCTTTACAGATGATTTGATTTTGAAATGGTGTTCTTTCTAATTAGGAATCTAGAGTAAGGGTTTTACATGCAACCACTCCAAGTGTACATTTTTTGCAGAGCTTCTTATATTCATCATATTCTAAAAGCACACACACACCAAAAAAAATTCGACCTGTTGGGAAAAAGCATTTGCATAGTGTTAGACTCCACTAACTACAAGTTGTCAGTAGCTCCTTTTTGCAGAGGACACACACGTTGCCAACATTGTAATGTTTAGGCGGAACATTTGACTTTTTTTTTTCCACAAGGTCGTTCAGCGTTATCACGCTTGCCGTCACCTTCAAAATGATTGATGCAAGTGACATAGCCTTTAAATACATTCTTCAGATAAGAAAAGAGGAATGTCAATGTTTAAGTATTCAATTCATCTGTAAAAAAGGAGCCTGGGAACTGGGATTTGTCACTAAGTCTGTGGCGAGTCATTGTCCTTGACTTCCAGCTGGCTGTGTGTTCTCGCCCCCCTCCGACCAATAGAAGGCCTCAAAATAGTCGCGGCTTTGTGTGGCCGGCTCTAAACGAAGAAAGACATTTTCCATCCATTCTCTCACAGCGGTGGATTTTTTTTTTCCAGTGCGAGATGGAAAAAGAGAGGCAAAGAGACTGCTGATTGTACTCATTGGTTTTATGCAAATCCACATGTGAGCATGTCCAAACCAAGCGTCGGCCGGCGGAGTTGGGCTTGATGTCCCCGTCGTCAGTCGTAATGTGATTATCCAGGCTCTGCGGGGGCTGAATGTGAGCAAGTTTGCATCTTGTCATTAAGGACAGTAAATAACAGGCATGCCTGGGGCGCAAGAGAGGAGGCAGGCCCGGTGGTGTTGGTGACGCTGGCAACGGGGTTTAGTCGGAGATTGGAGCCATGCTAAAGGTTTACACGAGGTCACATTAGCATGTTTGGCCATTGTGCCCACAGCGTGGGGACTCAGTTCTTCTCGCTGCTTCTTCCACGTCTTTTCACCGTGCGCAGACCAGATGAGAATGACGGACAGCTCATTTTTTTTACGTCCTACTTCTTCCTCTTTGTCATGCAATGAAAAAGCCGGAGGAAAAAAAAAGAAAAAAGAAAAACGCAAGCGCTGTGGAATTTACATCCTGCCTAACTTTAGCTTTGGGTTCCTGACCAGAAAACACATCCTCCAATTTTTGTCTATATTGGTCTTCCTGCGTCTCTCCTTATGGGATTTTGCACATAATTCCCCCTCCGAGCTCCACAGTGTGACTCAATTGGAAGATTTTATGCCCAGGACTAAGATGATTCGCATTTCAAAAACTACCATTTGAAACAAGTTTCTGGACTTAAACTAGATTCAACTTTGGCCACGTGGTGTCAAAAAGGAATGAATTGTTTCCCTTGAATTTCCCCAAACTTAGCTGCTGTATGCCACGTGAGATAAGGACATTACATTCAGAGTGAACCAGAGATGATTTTAAATGCCAAACTTTTACTTCTAGCTTCTACAATTCAAGAGTTGAAATGCAAATGCAGACATCTTGATTTTTTTTTTTTTTTTTTTTTTGTGACGTGAGTACATTTTTGTGGTTCCAAGTTCAAGTTAATACTTTTTATTTTGGATATTCTGAGTTAATATAAAATAACCAACTAAGAGGCTTATTTTGGAAAAAAAAATAAAATCAAATAAAAATTCACTATGCTTACGCTACCAAATTGAGTGTACGACATTAATTTCAAAACCAAAAATCAAATCATCCAAATGATATTTTACGGATCATTTTTGCAGCAGACTATGAGGTCATCAAAGGTCAAATGTGTATGATCTAAAATGTTTTTAAAATACATAGTGAATCATTATTATTTTTTAATTCATTACATACAGACTTAGGACGTAATTGTGAAACTCCACATTTGAGTGCGTCTTACCCGCGTGGGTCCGACATCCAATTCACATCTGCAAACTTCCAAGAAGCAAAAGTTCATCGAACATTTTTGCTATTCTCGTCAAAACAAAGACTGCCAGTACTGTGTTATGATTCTATTTATTGTAGTCAGCAGGATGTCCCTCTCCAAAGTGGGTGGATTTTCTTTCCTTACTTTTCAGTGCCCCCCCCCCTCTTCATTTTCGCCTGTCTGCATATGTTGTGGAGGCCATTAATCGTCCCGTGCACAACATGCACCCCAGCAGATAATTACCGTCATTAAAGCAATTAGAGAGCACATGGAGGGCAGGTTTTAGTTAGACCCCGAGGCTTCGCTCTCCTCCATCAGGAGAGCTAAGGTGGTCCACACACAAAAAAATAAGAGAAGGGAGTGAATTGGAAAAAGGCACTTCCTGTTGGTGTCGCCTTCACAGACCTCGCCAGTTTTGTGACCAGAAGCATTAGCCAGCAAAAGTCCTTCCCGCTCTCACGTCCTCTGAAGACTATTTTGGTGCTTCAGCAGATGGGAGGAAAGCAGACGGTGGTTTTGCAGCATTTATACACTTATATACACACACACACACACACACACATGCATCACCGCGCCTGTCATGTCATGTGAGCCTTAGCCTAATATTAAGCTCTCATTGTGTCTGCCACTGTGGGAGTCCTCGCAGATGCAAACGATTGAATAAGCGAAACAAGCTTCACATGTGCGCGCAAGCCGCAGAAACCCCCGGCGCTTTTCCTCACCGGGCTGGAGGATAAAACTGTCGTCCGTTGCTCGGCCTTTTCGGGACTTTTCCCAGCATTCCGCCTGTTGCCCTTGGCGCACGTGCGCAAAGAAAATAAGAAGGAAGGCCAAGGAGCCTCTGTTACAGGTTGTCTCGGAAAGGATGTTCAAAATGAAACTGGTGGTTTGAAGATGAGATCATGTTTATGTTCAGATCCAAGATAAAGTTTTTAGGTAAGTGTTAATACGGTCAACAATTGTCAGGACATAAAGGTCAGTGTCAAACCATAAAAGTCAACTAAACAACAGGAAACGTGCGCTTTTCTTTCTTTTTCTTTTTTTTCTTTAATGGTTTCAATTTCATTGAGATCCGATACAAGCACTTCATGAAAGTGTTTCTGCATTGCTGTTTTAGAGTGCCTTGTCATCCCATGACCCGCGTGTTTATTTTTGCAGCTCAAACGTAGTAGGCCAATGGCTTGACTTTTTAGACTTTTGTTTTATTTTCATTTCATGTACTCTGCAATTATTTTAATCAATCAAATTTGGCAGGCTTATTAACAACCCTCTTCTCTTTGGTAAGTCAAGTTTAGAAGACATTTATCATCACTTTGTATATCAGGCCTACTACATATCTACTTCTAATATATTTTTATTCGGCATGCATTTACCTGTATGAATTTACATGCAAATTCACATATACAAATTCATGCTTTTTTTCATAGAGCCATAATTTACAACCTCAATGATACACACATATATATTACTGAATTAAAGAAAACATTTTGGGGGGAATAACATAATTTGTGGTTTGAGATGCACACTGATCATATTTTTTTAGTACCGCGAAAGAATAATTTAAGCACATGAACTC